TATATGAAGACATCAAAACAAGGAGACCCGCAAAGGCACGTTCTTAGTGAGTGGGGTTCAGGGTTTAGGGCGGCTGGCGGGGTCTGGGTATGTTTGAGAGTGAATTGAAAGCTAAGTTGCAGGGATCTTGGTGATTGGAGTAGGGTTTGGGGGTATAGTATGGAAATAGTATGGTGTAACTGTAGTACGGAGCCCTGGACACAATACTTATTGTAATCATTCAAGCCCATACACGACTGCCTTTTACCCCCGAATCTAAATTAACCTTTTCATTCGTCCCTCTGCCCCTACTGTATGTAGGGGTCTTGGTAACCTGACTCATACGAAGTTGTCAATAAAAAGTATTTAAACTCTCTCTTTTTGAAAGTTCTAGGGGTTTAAAAAGATAGCCTCCGGCGGGGTCGGTTCTTGTTTGGTACTTGGGTGTATACCCTTATTATGCATCTGTCAGGCAGTCGGGGATCGCCCTGCAGCCGCGGTTTTGAGCTACAGCGATACTAGTTTGGTCGAACAGTGTTGAAATATGGCGCTCGGAATACCCGGAACCCCATATATAAATGAACTCCAAACAGGAATAAACTGCAAGAAATCCTAAACACGAAGCCCTAAAAATCCGAAAGAGGCTGAACCCTTCGGAGAACCTAGACCCCCTAACTATCCTTTATTGTAGCCCCGAGTTACCTCTTAATGAGAAGTATCAGATCCCTTTAAAGGGTACTTGGGGGGTCTCCTAGACCCTAAACCCTAAACCCGCTTCAGGGTGCTGTTCGTGGGATCCACTTGGGGGGTCCTGGAAGACGTCCTCCCTTCCAAGAGAGTCCAATACCCCTAAATTACGGAATATAGCTTAAAACATAATATGAAGCCATGTATAACTTTGAGCCATATTCCTTAATTAAGGGGTATTGGAGTCTCTGGGTCCTTTGGAGAACTGAGTCCCCCAGCGTGTGGCGCTGGGCGCGCTCGGCGCGCTCGGTGCGGGCGCCTTGGGGGCTGGAGCCGGCTCCTCCTGTGGCATTGTCGGGTTCCTTCAAAGGGATCTATAAGGGTTCTTTTATAAAGGGATCTATCAGGGGTTCCTTTAAAGGGATCTATAAGGGCTCCTTTAACGGGATCTATAAGGGCTTCCTTTAAAGGGATCTATAAGGGTTCTTTTAGAGGGATCTAAAAAGGGTTCCTTTAAGGGATCTATAAGGGTTCCTTTACAGGGAACCCCGCTGAAGGGATCTATAAGGGTTCCTTTATAGGGATCTATAAGGGTTCCTGTAAAGGGATCCATAAGGAGTTCCTTTAAAGGGATCTACAAGGGGTTCCTTTCAAGGGATCTATAAGGGTTCCATTAAAGGAATCTATAAGGAGTTCCGTTGAACGGATCTAGAAGGGGTTCCTTTAAAGGGATCTATAAGGGTTCCTTTAAAGGGATCTATAAGGGGTTCCTTTAAAGGGATCTATAAGGGTTCCTTTAAAGGGATCTATAATTGGGCGGGCTAATAGGGCAGGTTAAAGGTAGGCCCGGTTAGGTGACAGGTTTTGGCCTAGGGGGTCGTGTGATGGGAACAGCTCAAAACTGGAGGCAAAAGTGCACTGATGTTCAGCTGTTTTGAAGTGTCCATTCTGTATGTTGTTTTCAAGCTGTCGGAGTGGGCGAATTCCTGAAGATGTTGCTGCTTCTGCAGGCGAAAATGTGCGAAATCCGATGATGTGTGCAATAGTTCTGTGTGGCATCCTGTGTGACCGTGTGAAACAGTGTGGAAGTATGCCTTTTTGTTGTTTTTGGGCCCGAGAACTGTTAGGTCTTGAAAACATCTTTCAATGTAGGAATATTGTGCGAGGCGGCACACATGCTGGCTGCAAAGCTATCAAGGGGTCACTTTTTCTTGGTGATTGCATGCTTGTTTTTGCTGTGTTAGAAATTTGTCGGGAAGTGGGCTTTGTGCTGCACTGTAGGGGCTTATCGGGCTGGTGGAGAAAAATGGTCGAACTAGGAGGACAGTGAGGAGAGGAGGGGGCTGGGAAAAGGTGGTGTGGCCAGGGTTTCACACTTAAAGTATGTCGCCTGAAGGATGCTCACTCCGAAGTTGTTGTTTTCTGCGGTGGGTTTTGGGGGACTCCAATTCCAGGTGAACTAGATGCTGCAATTCACGTAAGTTCCTGATTGAACTGGGGGTTTTGGAGGGGTCGGGGAGTGGGCCAGACGGAGGTCTGACCCCGGCGCCGAACGCCGGCTCTGCCAGAGGAAGAAGACATCGTCGATGGAGTACCTGCCCAGCACGGCTAGCAACTTTGTCGAAGGGCGGACGGGGCTTCGGGCAACTGCTGCAGACGTGTGGCTAGCGACCGCAGGGAAACAAACTGTGTGAAAGCAACTGCTTGACTGAAGAAACTCCTTTTTTATCCGCCGGGCGAGAGACCCGAGAGTCAACAGTCTCCAAGAACCGTGCTCGAGAAGCTGTTCTCGAACGACTCTTGGTGCTTCCGTCCAAGACGACCAGTCAGGAACGTTAGTCGCCGAAGGCGGGCCTGCCGATGGACCGCGAGGCCGACCGCTCTTTGTCCAGGATGCGAAGCAAGCCCGGCAACGAGAGTCGCTTCTCTGCCGGCACGAACGTCTTCTCCAGGATGTCCTGCATTGTCTGGTCGTACGGCATCAGCTTGAAGCTCCTCGCAGTGGCCATCTCCCGAATGGCCTTTGCTGTCTCCTCGGTCTCCCGCACGAACGTCCCCGGCGGGACTGAGAGAAGCTTTTCTGGGGCAGCACACCTCGAACAACGTGGCTGCGGCCGCCCAGACGTCAGCGGCGAACTTGACACGAACCTGGCAGGGTTTCTGTGATTGAAACTCGGGCCTTCCTATTAACTGTTACATTGTCCGAAATAGGCTAGCTGCAAGGTTCGGCAGAGGCACTGCTTAAAGATACTGCAGGGATCAGAAAAGAAACTTTGAGCCTACGTTTTAAGGATTCCAGGGATATAGCTACGCCAGCAACCCATGCCTTTTGGCCGCCGGCCATGAGGCACTCCGGGCAGCGAAAGTCCAGGGTGTACACACGATCGCCCACCACAGAGCAACCGTTCTCGGAGACCCCCTCTGCATGGCCGAAGTCGGCCAGGGAAGCTCTCTTGTCATCGAACACGAGAATGTTGGCGGGCTTCACATCGAGATGCATGACCGAACGCCCGTGCACGAAGGACAGGCCGAGGACGAACTGCGAAAAAAGTCCCAGCAGCGAGGCCCTGCCGGCCGGCGAGTTCTCCAGCCGATCGTCCTTGAGCCTGCGAGCTTTCGCATGCAGGCTCTCAGACGCCCTCTCGAGAACCAAGCCCGGCCGGCCCAGCGAGCTCGTGACAACGGCGAAAGCTCGAACGACGTTGGGGTGCTGCCCCAGGGCCGTCAAAACGGCGAACTCCTCCTGAACGTCGATGCCGGTTGCTGCCGCTTGCAGCCCCCGACCTTTTGTCAGCTTCACTGCAACCGGAAGGCCTTCGAAGGTGGCGAAGAAGACCTCACCGCTCGCCCCACGGCCGACCGGCTTGAAGTCACGAAGCGAACGACCCAAAGTCCAGGTCCAGGTGTCCGCCTGCACTTCCCGAACGGCAAGGTCAGCATCCAGGTGGGCTTCGGCTTCTGCTTTTCGAACGACCTCGGCCTCGTCGGCAGCGACTTGCGGCGAAACATCGCCGAACGACTGGGCCTTTCTGTAAGCCTCGGCCTTCTTTCGGTTGGCCTCGTACTTCGCCTGAGCGAGTGCCGCGAACTTCTCCCGAATGTCCTTGCTTTTTCGGTGGTTCCTCAGTGCAAGGGACGTTGATTCTCGGAAAGCTTTAAACTGTGTGCGACGGCAAGGGGAAAGTAGTAGGGCCCTTGCTCACTAGATTTGCTAAGGCTGCTCAAGCTTGCTGGCTATGGGGAAACTTCAATTGGTTCTAGGTGCAATCTGGGCCAAAATCTTCGGAGGACTTCCCTAGTAGTCTTAGTGCAACCCTATCGGCCGATGCAACAGTTTCAAAAGCCAACCTTGGGCCTCCTTGGGTCTGAAGCCTGTCGTTTGAAAAGCCCACTCCTTGCAACTGTATAAAATCCTTAGGAAAAAGCTGAAAAACACCTGAAATGCACCTGGAAAAATCTGAAACGCACATAGAGCTACTGAAAGGGTTCTAAAGGTTCGGTTTTGTGGTTTAGGGTATAAACTTTAGTAGGCCAAGAGGGCTTCAAGTGGAGGCTTTGCGAAGGTGTGAAACTGACTTGGAACCCTAAACACCTCCCTAAACCATCCAAAGCAATATAAAGATATCCTGGTTTAGTCAATGTTTGGCCGTATCTGCTAACTAAATAAAACAATCCCAGGATCCACTTGAGCTTCATCGCTGCCTTCTCCCGGAGCATCCGCTTCCCGCGAATGCGGAACTTCGCAGCCCGAGAGACCGTCAGGCCTTCCCGAGCGACCCACGAGTTAAACAGGGCCCAGGCGCTTGCGGACCTTTCGCCACCTGTCTCCGCCAAAGTGGCCCGTCCCATGGTGCTTCCCCTATAGTGACTAGACGAGGTTTGAAAAGAAGACGCTGCAGAAAAACAGGGTAGAGCGAACAAGAACTGCTGCTACTGCTTCTGCTGCTGCAAGTGTGACGGCCCAAGACTTGTTTGCAGACGAACCTCCTGTAAACCCCATACCCTGAAAAAACTTAGAGAAGTTAACTGCAACGGCTCACTCCCACACAGCAAAGCGAAAGTTCCCGGAGTGGCGGCCTCGTGCTTGGAAGAGAGAGCAGGAACGGCCGGAGCTTGAACGGAACTGCGATGACCTGGGCGAAGCAAGGCTTTCTTGTGGAAGACGTCTTCTCAAGAACTCTGGCTTTCGCTACAGCAAGCAGGACAAAACGCCGTTTCTGCAAGCTCTGCACTCGTTGCTCGGACGGCCGCTTTACTCCGCAGTGAAACTACCGAAAAGCCCAGTGGATTCTGGAACGTCCTTCTCTGCCATCGCACGTCCGGAAATCCAGGCCTCAAGCCGCCAACTTCTGCAACAGGCCTGCTGCCTCCTCCGGCATCGGCATGCCGTCGAATGTCTCCGCCCACTGCCAGCCTTGGCGAACGGCTTCCGCTGCGGCATTCCTACTGCCCACGGCAGTCCACGAAATGCTGCGAGTGACCTGAGCCCAGACAGTCCTGTACGTGAGACGCCAGCGGCCGTTGTAGTCGTCCCGATACACTCGGACGGCTGTGGGAACGCCGACCTTCACGACTTTGTCGATGTCCGAGCTGAGGGCGGCATAGCACCGCTTGATCGCAGCGGCATGGTCCTTCTGCTGCTGCGATGCCTGCTTCTCTTTGGCCTTTCGAGCTGCCGCTGCCTTTTTGTACTCGGGTCGGCTGGCAAAGGTCTTGGCGACGGCCTCGAAAGTCCGCGAGACCCGCTTCCGGATCTCCACGGCAGTCTCGCGAGCGGCTTTCCGCTTCGCAAGTTGTTGGAGGGCGACGTCCTGGTCGGCCGCCAACATTGTGTCTCGCACGACCTCTGTCAGATCGAGCTCCCCAAACTCGCCCGACCACGAGGCCACGTCCTGGCGAAACAGGAGACGATTGACCACGTCGTCCTTCGTCAGAGTTGGCTGGAGAGACAAGAGGCACACCACGGCGAGGCGGCCGTCCTCCTCGTGGCCAGTCTCCTCAGCTTCGGCCGGCCATCCCTTCACCTCTGCGAGTCGTCGCAGACCCCACTCCGGAACGCCTGCGAAGCCGAACTTCTCGTGGTGCTGAAGCAAGGAACATCGGGCCTGCACCCGAAAGACAACTCCCATGGCCCGGGTCTCACCGAGAGACACGAGACCTGGCGGAGAATGCGCTTTTTGACTGCAGCTTACATTCGGGTGATTCTGCTCGTTGCTGTCACGCCGTGGGTAAACTCTAAAATATCGAGAATGTATAGAAAACCCTACGAAAAAGCTGAAACGCACCTGAAACGCACCTAGAAAATGCTGAAACGCACATAAACGACTCTAAAGGGTTCCCTGTGCTGGTTTTTGGGGTTTAGGATTTAGGAAGCTATAGCCTAAGTGAATATTTACTACGGAATCCATACTAAAAACCAGAGATTTGTGGGCCAGGCCACGTTGTGGCGAGGTCGCAGCCAAGTCCAGAACGTCCACGGCCTCGTCGAAAAGGTGCACTCATCCGACCTGTGGGTTCTCCAGGTCCAGGCCGACGATGTCTCCGGCAGGGGAAGTCTGCAACTTGCCGGGCCAGACGAGAGCCGCTCGCTTGTAGCTGCGAACCACGTACAACGGTGGTCCAGTCGGAAACTGCAAGGCATGTCCCTCGGGAGCCAAGGCTGCCCACCATCCCTTCTCCACGAAGGACCAGTCCATGTTCTGCCGAACGACCTTGGTGAGCAGCGAGAACCCAGCCAGCTTGTCCTGTTCCGACTCAGGTGTGGGAGAGGCCCACGTCCTCGCTTGGCTAACGCCCTTCAGAAGGTCGTCCTGGAAGGTCTGGTCCGTGAGCTGCTCCTCGCGAACGGCGGCCGACGAACTGCCCGGGTCCGTGCAGAGCCGCTGAGGCCGCACGAACCACGGGTCGGCCTCGAACTTCGCGGGCACGGTCGCCATCCGGCCACTCGGCACCTCTCTCCTGTGATACTGCTCCAAGAGCTTCTTTCTCGAGAGACCGTGCCAGCCCTCCAAACGACCCAACGTCTTCGAAGTGCCATTCCGCTGCTCGGCCTCACGTTGGACCTTGTTGGCGTCCTCCACGAGCTTCGAGTTCAGCAGGCCGCTCCACGAACGGCGAAGCCACTCGAACGTCCCCGGCGGAACCTCCACGAACGACGCCTCCCGCAACTCGGACAGCAACATGGCCATCACGGGCGCCGTGGCAGAGTGGCCGTCCAAGAGGAGCTTCGCCTCCAACGACCCCTCGGCCTGCACACGCTTGACCGTGCGATCCACCTCTTCCAGAAAGCGAAGGCTGGACTGTCGAAGGGCGGCAGACTCGTGCAGCAAGCCGGCCGATGCTCCCCAGCCGTGCGTGGACCCCAGCTGGCTGCCGCAACGATATCGCAAGAGACGGTGTGTCAGGCGAACGACTCTGTGAGCGACTGCATCCTGCCACGCCAGCGAGTCCTCTCGAACCTCCTCCTTTGGCAGCTCGAAGGACATGTCAAGGCCGATCCGCTTCAGAGCGGCCAGGTTGGACAGCTTGGCGACATGCTCGCGAGCGACCTCCAAGTGAGCCCAGTTGGCATACTGGCTCACGGTGGCCTCGGCCGCCCGAAGGTCTGCGAGCATCGTGCTGCACCGAACGTTCTCCGGTTGAAGCACGAAAAACACGGACCTGGCCAGCGACCGATTGTCTTGGTTGCAGGCGAACATCGTCATCCCGTGCAAGACGTTCACCGAACGACCCCTCTGCTGCTGCAGAGCCTTGCGAGCGGCCGACTTGGCGGCTGCCCTGGTCGTGGCGGCCGTCGTCGTCTCGGCCATGCCAGCGGAGGGCGACCACAACTGGGACGCCGTCGTGCACCAGCCCTCGGCCACGCAGAGAGCGACCAGCACGAGGCAAAAGGCCGACCAGTCGCCGTCGAGCTCCGCATGGGCCTGCGAGAGACTGTTGAAGCGAGACTGCGAGGCCTTGCTGCCCTTGCTTCTCACGAACGACCTGTTTGGCAGGCTCTCCAGAAAAGCACGTCGCTCGGCCTCGTTGTTGTCCTCTTGCGAACGGCCTTGGTCCTCCAGAATGTCCGGAAAGAAGTCAGCAGCAACGGATCCGAAGGGCTCATCGAACGACTCATCTCGTCCGCCATCGTCTGGACCTTGCCGAACCACGTGCCCTTGTTCCATGGGCCGTAGCGAACGTTGTAGAGGCCGATGGACACGAGGCCGAACGTCAGCAGACCGGCCGCCGCCATCGCGAGGTTCACGTCGTTGTGGGAACGGTGAGCCGGGTCGTTGACGTGCTCCACGAACAGCGAACGGCCGAACTTCAAGTAGTTCACGGCCGCCAACTGAGTGGCCTCCTGATCCGTGCAGAGGATCAAGACCCTCGGCCGGCCTGCCTCGCTCGTCCGTCGGAAGGACGAAAAGCCCCAGCCAACGACCGCGAGGCTGTGGGACATGTCTCGGAGCCACTCCTGAGTGGCCAGCCTCTCCGGCTCCTTGTAGCCGCCTGTGGTCTTCGCTGCCGAGCGACCTTTGGAGCCGGCCTTCTTGAAGAACTTCGTGATGCGGCCCTGCCACATGTCCGTCCAGTCGTCCGACGTGATGGCCGTCCCTTTCTTCACCTGTCACAGGCAAAACTTTGACTCCAAACTCTATAGAGATTCAGGCTTGGGGCCCCGGAGAGAAGTGTTGCTACAGGAAGAGTTCCTAAGGGCTCTGAATTGCTTCTCTAAAGGGCTAGGAATCCCAAAGCAACAACAGCAGCTGGATACTTTGCCCGCAAAAAAAGCACACATAGACTCTACTGCCTTACAATTGACGATACATACCTTACGGCACTGCTGTTGGTTTGCAGGATTGTGCTCCCTTTGTGATCAGAAGTTGCAGTCAGGACACAAAGCTTGGATGCTGTGAAAACCTTCTCCGACCTCATACCCGGAAGGCCAAAAAAGAGTCCATTTTTGGCCAAAAATGGACTCGTTTTGCTATACAAAAATTAGGCGCGGTTTGACGTATGGTTGTGCCGGGGATTCCTTAGGCTCGGTTTAGTGTATGGTTTTGCTAGGCGCGGTTTGCTGTATGGTTTTGGCTGGGAGCCCTGGCCTCTTGCTAGAAGGGAATGGCGGGGACCTGGCAAAACCGGGACCCTGGCGAAAAGCGAAAAAGGCAGGGTTTACTGTATGGTTTTTTAGGCGCGGTTTACTGTATGGTTTCTTAGGCGCGGTTTGCTGTATGGTCGACCTTAGGCGCGGTTTACTGTATGGTTTTATGAGGGCCCATTTACTGCAGAAATTTGCCAAAATACGCCTCCCAAAAGCATTGTCCAACCCTCTCAGTCTGCCTGTGGCGGGCAAAGGAAAGACACGTCCTCGCTTGTGTCGCAGAGGAAAACGTTCAGCCAGTCCTCCTGTCCCACGTGAACAGCATCAGCGACGACGCTGAGAACGGGAGCCTGTGCCAAAACCGAGCGACCAGCAGCGACGTAGGACAAACGCTCGGCCTCAAGGAACTTCGAGGGTCGTTCCCTGTTTCGTTTCGTCTCGGCCGCCCCCGAGCCCGAGGCGAAATGGCTCTGAGCCACGAGAGCCGCAGCGATCGATGGGCCTGCCTGTCCACCCGCATCCAAAATGGCTTCCTGGCAGCCGTGCGACGATCTGCGATACCCTCGGGCCGTCCTGCAAGGAAGAACTGCCATCCCTCACAAAAGATACCCAAAACCCTAAGAAAAAGCTGAAACGCACCTGAAACGCACCAGGAAAAAGCTGAAACGCACATCGACAACATTAAAGGGTCTTATAATTCGCTGGTTTAAGGGTTTAGGGCTTGCATTAACTAAATAACCCCATTTGCAAGACTTCCGGGTCCTTAGCTGGTCCAAGGCATCCACTCGAGTGGCCGTCCAGAGCGGTTTGCCGACAGTGTCGTCGATGCTCTCTGCGAGAGACCGGACGAAACGAGCGAACAGCTTCTCTGCCGCCCTCCGCCGGTCCTGACTCAAGCTCCTGCGAACGGCATCAGCTTGCAGGATTCTCAAGGCTTCCACCACCTCAACCTGCTCCTGCTTGTTGAAGATCTTCGCTGCGATCTGGCCGTGCTCCTTGACGAGAGACTGGACCGACACCTCGCCCCGCACGACCTGAAAGCAGCCTTTTCGAACGTCCTGCCAGAAGGTGTCTCGCATCCCTTGCAGAATGCCCTCTGCACGGGCCTTGATATCATTCGGCTCCAGATTCCATTTCGCATTCGCACGAGGGCCCTTCGCCATAAGCTGGCCTAGCCAACAGATGCAGGCGAAAGACGACAGGCTAAAGTCGCCCTGCTGAGCGGCTCATCCTCCTCCTCCTCCTCCGCCTCCCGGTCCCCAACGTCCTCGCGAACATCCTCGTCGTTGGCGGCGGCCTTCCGCTTCCTGGCACTGACGGCAACCTGCTTTGCCATCATGCTGGAGGACGTCAAGTGGTCGTCCGCGACCGGCAAGGCGATGGCCTCCTCGTCCTCCTCCTTCGCCTCCTCGCCCATCTTCTGAACTTCCTCATCAGACGACGAAAGGCCATCAAAAATGACTGCTGCGGTGCGATTGGCTATCGGCTCCCGCGAGCGACCGGCCATGTTGGCGATCCCCACACCGCCCAGGAAATCGATCATCCATCGGAAGACCCAGAAGAAGAAACCAGGTCTCGAGTGGCCGTCGCGAGCAGCGACGGGGGTGGTGTACTGATACACCTCCCCCTTGAAGGACCCGTGAGGGCCACAGGGCAGAACGATCGCCCGAACCACCCTCTCCCGCAGCACGGCCTCTCTCTGGCCCGCCCTTTCCGCCGGGGCCTCTGCTTCGCGAACGTCCTTTCTCCGGCTACCTCTGCTTCACGCACGACCGCCATGATCACGGTTGATTAAGCCTACCGGCTAAAACCTGCTAGTCGTGACTGTCTCTGCCCGTGCAAGGTCTTTGGGTCTGCAACTGCAAGTGCTTAGGGCCCCTTTCAGGGGCGAGCCTTCCTTGAGCAGGGCAGCTTTGTTCGCAGCAAACGCCAAGGCACTGCCCGCAGAAAGTGAGGCACAGGACAACGAAGGGCCGAGCACCGGGCCGCTGGGCCAGCCTGTCCGGAGTTGGCTTGGTTTTGCTTTGGATTGGCACTAGAACTGCGAAATGCCGCCAAAAACCTTGGAAAAACACTGAAAAACACCTGAAATGCACCTGGAAACTGCTGAAACGCACCTAATCTACTGAAAAGGGTTGTTGTCCCTAACCCGGCAGCCCTTAACGCAGAAAAGTGTCCACTAGAAGCACTACTCACCGAACACGGCCCAAAACACTGGAAAAAAGCTGAAAAACACCTGAAATGCACCTAGAAACTGCTGAAACGCACATAAGCGACTTGAAAGGGTTCCTTTTGCTTCGTGTGCATCCCCAATGTAGCCGAACTACAGGATCCCCGCAAAACTTGCCGTTGTCTCGAACAACGACAACCCGAGAGACTCACACTGACTCACTCGTCCTTCTTCATGACCCACTTGGCCTTGGGATCGATGGACCGCAATGTGTCGAACAAGGTACGGCAACCGAACGACAAATGCGGGTTGGCCTTCGATGACACCCTGGCCGTCGGCTCGCTTTCGTCGTCCAGAACCCACTCGTCGCCCGCGACCGCGAGCGACGGAAGGCTGGCCGACTCCCCGTCCAGGGCATTCGTTACCTGGTCGCCCTCCAAGGCGAAGCACTTGAAGTCGAACTCCGAGGTCACATGGGGTGCCACACGATGCTCGCCGAGGGTCTCGAACCGCTGCTTGGCCATCTTCTCGAGAACGTCGAAGGACCGAGCACCGGCCGGCAACGGTGTGTCGGGGTCGACGAAGAACTGAACGACGAAAAAGCCGTCCAGAACGTCGGCCGACACACCGTTGGACTCAATGTCGACGCCGATCTTCGAGAGCATGTGCACCTTCGCCTCCTCCGGCAAGTCACCGAACGTCTTGGCTTTGCCGGCCCACTTTTTGGGCTGGGTCCGACCGTCCCCACCGCCGCCCTCGGCCGACGACTGGCCACTCTTGAGCAAGGTCTGCAGGGCACCGTCGCGAATCAGGTCCGCGAGCGGCCTGACCCACCCAGGATTGTCATCCAGTGCCGAGTCCACGAACGCCCGTGCTCGCTCGAACGACGACTCAGCGAAGGTGGCCATGCTCTTGGCGAACGTCTTCTCCGCCTTCTTCTGCATCTTCGCTTCCTTCACACGTCTCCGAGCGGCTGCCTTCTCCTGCTGCTTCTTGGCGGCCGTCGCCTTCTTGTCGCTCGCCCCGGAGGTCCTGGCCCTGGCAACCATGCTAGCGACCAACGACGACGAACGACGACACGAACGACCGCCCGGAGTCTGGAGTGCTGGACTTTTGCCAACGAACTAGGTGAATCTCACTTGCTACCCTTGAGAATGAAACACCACAGAACGCCGGTACTCACTGACCCTGGGCTTTGCAATGCGACTTAAACCCAAATCCGATGTGTCCTTTCGTGGGAAACCTTTCCTATTCGAACGACAAATTACACCTGCTGTCCTAGGCTCGAACGACTCCGTTCCGATGATAACTCGAGCTGCTGATTCAGGATACAATGTAGGGCTCGAGCTTTGGGCTTAAGGTGTTCACTTTAAGGCTTAAGCTATTATGCCCGAAATTTAACTAAACCTTACCAAAAACCAGCCTCCCGAGCGACCCTGCAGCATCGTTCCGAACGGCCGTGATGTAGTAGTACCTCCCGAGTTTAATTTAATATTATAGTGTCATTAAGTACAGAAAAAGTTTCATCAGGTTTGAGATATAGGGAAAGGGTGCAGGGGCTTGTGTAAGTTTTTTGTGTTAGTTCAGGGCGATGGTTTTCTTTATAGTAACAAGAATAGAAGAGTTTGGGATTTGGGGTAAGATGTTTGGGATATAGAGTTTGGTGTTCCGTGTTTTGGGGTTCCGGGTATTCAGGGTTGGGGTTTGTCCTATTAGTTGTTTATGGGCTGGTTTTGGGCTTTGTTTACATTATGTAAATTAATTGGTAGTGTCCGGGCGAATGGTCTATGTTGTGGTGTGGTGTTTTTTAGTTGGATGCTTAATTGGGTTTGGTGTCAGGGCTTTATTCATTTAACTTATTTTTTAAATATTATTATTGTTATTATTATTATTATTATTACTACTATTTAAAGTGGGAAATGCAGAGCACTCGGCACGCACACAGCTCGCACTCAGAAACCCCAGGAATCACAGAACTTCACCGAACGACGAAACCCACCGAACGCCGAAAACTCCCCGGGCACACGCCTGAGCTCGAACGTCCAGCACCTGGCACGACAAGCGATGGCAGTATGACATGATATGAGCTCGCAATGCACGACCGAGCACACGCTGAAGCACCCACAACTTTTTTCCACCCCTCCAGGCAACTCCGGCCAGGCAAAACTGGCTCCCGAACGGCGGCCGCTGTGGCAAAATGTCGGGAGTTCATAGTCCATGGGGCCACCTGAGATGTGCAAAGCTTCCGTGTGCAATGCAATACAAAAGCACACACACAAATAACATGACATAAAGAAACCGAGGCACTCCGAACGACCACCGAACGACCTACGGCCGGCGATCGTGAAAGCGGGGACGGCGAAAGTCCTGAATGTCAGTCACGTTGTGCTTTGTGCAATGCAACATGCATACATGCAGAAACCTTCGATAACAGTCAAGCGGCCGGCTCTTCTGGGCGACGATCACGATCGGCCATCCACCGTGGCACTGGGCGGCCCGGGTGACCAGGGTCCGAGATGCGATCGTCCTCGTAGTACGGACGCCGGTAGTAGCCGCCGCCACGATCGTCCCGGTCACGATCGGCCCGCTCGCGATCTGCCCTGTCTCGATCGAACGCCCGCTCACGGTCCTCCCGATCACGACGATCACGTTCGGCCCGATCGCGATCGTAGGGCGACTGGTACGAACGCCAAACATCTGGCTCGTCACGATAGTCGCGGCCGGCATGAGGAGGAGGGCTCGACTGACGCTGGGCCTCGTAACCTTAAAGGGCTCCAACCAACAAAAAACACTCTGTCTCGAACTGCAGCCTGAATGAATGCAAGTCACGGCGACGATCCTCTTCTCGGCGAGCATCGAAGTCGTCGTAGTGCTGGCGGCCGTGACCCGAACGACCACCGCCTTTGGCAGGACGATCGCCTCAACTTCAAATCTGCAGCTAACCTGACTGGCTCATGTGCAAAATGCCAAAGTCAAAAACTTCAGTCCGAGCGACCCGACGATCCCGGCAGACCTGCAATCTCTGGCCTCAAGCGATCCAACTCCTTACGGCAGGCACTGGTGATCGCGGCCGACGGGTTGGAGTACGTCCTGAGGTCGGCCTGGTTCTCGCCTGAGTCAATTAAATGAATTCAGGCAGCACACGAATGGCAAGAACAAGTGGCAAGCCCTCACGCCACAAAGCCGAGTTTCGTTGCAACACCTGAAAGATCTCACGCACGAACTTCGCTCCGTCATCCGAATGGCCAGCGAGGTTTCCGACTGCCTGAGCTTCCGTTCACTGATAGTAAAGCAGCAGCTAAGCAAGTCAAGAACCAGTGCTATCGAGAGGCTCGCATACACTTCTCATCGAGCCTCAACTCGTCCAATTCCAGAAGGACCCCGGGTGCCACACGCCAAACGTCCAGTCGAACCTGAGGGATTCCAAGGCAAGGGATGATTAATTAATGCCATGAGTGAAATGCAATGCAACGGATTGAATTTAAAGCTCAGGGGCGGCATCGAGCAGCGGATTGCCTACCGAGGGCATGGCAGCAACGACGGCTTCAACCCCGAACGTCCCGTGGCCAAAGTACGGCCCTCCAGGTGCATCGGCAGGCGGGGTTCGAGGTCCCGGAACGCCCGCAGGGTGAGCCGGGCGATATGCCCCGAACGGCTCTCCGAACGCCACTCTTCGAGCTGCTGAATGATCTCACCCGGGAGCTGGGCCACCGCCCACCATTCGGAGAAGGCATCCCCGTACGACGAAAGCCAAACTGGACACTCGAAGAGTGCACTCAGTGCCACTGCCAGGGCAGCACTGCGATTCTTGCCGTGGCTGCCTCGGATGTTTTGCAACAAAGCAGAATTCATAGCTATGCAAGCGACAGACTGTCTCAAGACACAATTGAAAGTGCATCCAGCGACAGATGATCTGGAGCACCGAACGGCCATCGACCTTGAAAAGGCCCTCCAGAATGGCACAAAGCATGACGAAGCAGGGCCGGAACTCCTCTTGTTGGAACGGCCCCCTGAACGCCGCCAGCTTGCACAACGGATTGCCTCCCACGAATGACTCATGAAATGGCAATGTAATGAAGCCGAACTCCGAACTGCAAAACATGACATGATTATGATTCTATGAGCTAAAAATGGCCTGGAGCGGCGGCATTCCTGGCTCCGGCATCGTTGTCCCAAATGCCCCGAACGTCCACGGAGCATTGGGTTCCGTTGACGTCATACCACCTTCTCTTCAAGAGCCCCGGCATGCAGCTATGCCCCTTCTGACCTCAGTCATGGCTAAACACTCAATTCATGCTACAGCTCCAACTCAACTTGATGCGGAAATGTCGTACTACCTGGTTTGAGACGAGTCACGAACGGCCCCCGAACGGCCACTCGTGTTGTAGGGCTCTTCCGCCCCGTACGCCACGATCAACGGTCCTTTGTAGAACCGCCCCTCGTCGATCGGGTCGTCGATGCCCTCGTAGTTGAGGTCCTCGTCCGACGAGCGGCGGGGGCCAGTGCGACCGGCCATGATGATCGGCGACGACGGAGTTCGCAAAATGCGAACGACCCCTAAAACAGACACCAAAAACCGAACGGCCTGAAGACCGAACGACCTATTCCGAATGATCCCAAAAATGACAATGTGACAATCTGTGAAAAGTTCTGAATCTGTGAAATGTGAACGTGCCTTCCAACCTATCACTCACGGCAGTGTCTGAAGCCAAAGCTTAAGGATACTCGCTCAACACGGGCTCTCTCGAACGACATGTCAGTTGCAAATGCCCTCCTGCACGCACAAACGAACTGCCACCGAAACCCCAAACATGCAAGGGGCACCAGCCGAAGATGATGAGCTCGTCCAGGACCACCAGGTTGAGCAGGGCGAACGACGAACGACCGATCTGAAAGACCCCCAGAAATTCAAGCCCCCTAGCACAACTTTTGAAACATCCAGCCATAAGCCCTCATATGAAACCCATTATTTCTCGATAACTTTTATCACTTATCCTATCCTAACCCGAAACTACACAAAATCATTTCCCGCAAACAACAAAAAACTGTATACCCGACGACAAACCCACAATTCCTGGTAATATAAACTGCCCCAAACCCCTTACTTGTCGATACTTACACCGACCCGGCCCCCAAACCCCCAAAACCATACGCTAAACCGAGCCTGCTAGTAAACCGTCCCTATTAGCCCTCCTGATATAAGGGTTCTTGGAAAAGGATCCATAAGGGTTCCTTCAAGGGGATCTATAAGGGTTCCTTTGAAGGGATGATCTAGAAGGGGTTCCTTTAAAGGGATCTAGAACGAATCTATAAAGGGTTTAGTGGTTTAAGGGTTCAGGGTTCAGGGCTTAAGTTTACGGTTTTATTAGTTGGGTTTAAGTGGTTCGGGGTTAGTCAGGATTTAGGTTGTGGCGTTCTTTGGGGTTTTGGGTTCGGGGCTTGGACTTTCCAGGTTAAGGATTCAGGTATGGTAAGTTCATCGCTCGAATATTTATGGGTGAGTGTGTGCTGCAGGTTTGTGCATCAATGGACATGAATACATGCACAGAAACGTTTTCGTCCATGCAGGAACTTCAGTGTGTGACATACACTGTACACTATTGCTTTATAACCGGTGCCGCGCTACATCTGCTTGTTTGTGGCTGTGCTCTTGTTAATTATGCTTTTTTTTTGTGTGTGTGTGTGCTTTTGTTGGAGAGGTGGTGGTGTATGTTCAAACTGATGCATCTGCTATTTGTGAGCAGGAATTGCATGTTGTTGCTGCTTTTGGCTGGGGCTGCTGCGTTGTTTCGCACGAACTCAAGGCTCCTGCATCACGTTAGTGCTCACTCTGTTTCTGTCGATGTGGTTGCATGTACCCATACCCTTCAATATATCCTCCTGCCACATGTTTGCAGCCAGCAGTCTCATGAACGATATGATGCCATTCGTAGACACGAGACTATCCGCTCCGTGCCTGCGATCACCCTGTGCTTCCAAGGACCTTATAGTAAGGGCCCTACACCCCTTAAGGACCCTATAAGGTCACTTGAAGCCTAGGGTCACAGAGTAGTCGTGGTAGTCTTGTGCTTGCAGGCGCAAAAGTGCGGAGCTCGCACTGGCCGTCATTGATACATGACGGTGATGGTGTTACTGATAAGACTAGTCTTCGTGCTGGAACTATATGCCACATTCAATCAAAAAGCCAGTAACGGCCACAGCAGCAAGAACGATAGCAGCAGCAGAACACCAAGAGCAACATTGACTCCACCCTTCGTAGCTGTCGCAGCGACGCGAACTTGCTGGGCAATGACAACAACAAATGGATGCAGCAGCAATAACAAGACCCACAATCACAATAGCAACAACAAGCGAAATAATAACAATCATAATTTAAAATGGTGACAATCATAACATTGAATGTAGAAAAAGCGAAGGACCGACTGAAACTGCAACTCTGACTTCCGGCCTCTTCGTCCCCGAGCTCCCAGAAGCAGTCTGTCGGCCTTTTAGCAGTTGGCCACAGCACCAAAGATCCCTGTTAGGGTCCCGTTTAGAGAACTACCCATGTAGCCCATAGTGGGGAACCTTTCACCGGAGCGTGTGAGCGGTAAGCGAAACCCCGGCAACCGCAGGAAACTCTGACATCTCGTGTAGTATAGGTACCTTGAACAAATCTGCAGGCTTTTCGGCATAGGGATCTGCAATTCCTAAATCTCCGAACTCTACAACCCCAAGCCCTACGCCCTGAAACTCTAAACACAGTTACAATCACCAAACCCTACAGCCCCCTTGACCTATAGCAGCCCTAAACCCTACAATCCCTGAACCCAAACCCTAAACCCTAAATCCTGAATCCTAACCCTATATAAGCCCTACGCCCAAAACCCTACAACCCCTATAGCCCTGGCCCTACGCCCAAAACCCTGCAACCCCTATAGCCCTACAACCCCTGAAGCCCTACAACCCCAAAAGCCCTAAAGCCCCTAAAGCCCTACTCTGAGGACGTGGCGCAGAGCCACATTGCGAGGTGAGGATCTGGGCCTTCCCTGTGGCCGGCACAAAAACCTGGGTTTAGGGTTCACCTTAACCCGAAATATCCTACCTTTTTAGGGACTTATATAAAGAAATCATATTAGGGGCCCTCAAAAGGTAGGTTCCTTAGGGTTCAGGGCTTAGGGTAGTGTTTAGGGTTTTGGGGTTAGGGTTTAGGGTTTCAAGGGTTTCAAGGGTTTAGGGTTTAGGGTTTAGGGGTTTAGGGTTTAGGGGTTTAGGGTTCACCTTAACCCTGAAGAACCTACCTTTTTTGGGTTCCCTATTATGATTTCCTCATATAAGTCCTTAAAAAGGTAGGTTCTTCAGGGTTAAAGCAGGGCTTAGGGTAGTGTTTGGGGTTTTGGGTTTAGGGTTTGGCATTAGGGGTTTAGGGTCGAGGGTTCAGGGCTTAGGGTAGGGTTTAGGGAAAGGTTCTGGGTTTAGGGTTTAGGGTCGAGGGTTCAGGGCTAAGGGCAGTCTTTGGGGTTTTGGGTTTTGGATTTGGCATTAGGGGTTTAGGGTCGAGGGTTCAGGGCTTAGGGTCGTGTTTAGGGTATAGGGTAGGGCATTGGGGGTTTAGTGTTGAGGGTTTAGGGCAGGGTTTAGGGGTGTAGGGTTCAGGGCTTAGGGTAGTTCTTCGGGTTTATGTAGGGTAGGGCATTGGGGGTTTCGGGTCGAGGGTGTAGGGTTTAGGGTGTAGGCAGGGTTTAGAGTGGAAAGGAAGCTTAAGGCCTACATGACGTTTACGGCTTTATAGGGTTATAGTAGGGCTCAGGCATTAATAATAAGGCATTGAAGAATTGACCCAAGGCTGCATGTACCTACGTAGTCATTCGTGCTTTCTTGGCCATAACAGTGTTCGGGTGCTGAGGGGCTCCAGGTGTTTGACTCGGAATTCAAACGATTCGGAGGAGTTGGCTGGTTCCACACAGCCTACTTGGAGGGCCGGAGGCTTAATAAGTAGTTATATTCAGGGCTTTTACAGATCATAACCCCAAAGGGAATCCTTTCTAGGGTACTTATAAGTCTGCTTGCTACCTACTCAAAGTCCCCCGAAGATCCAAGCGGGAGCCCGTAGGGGCCTGGAGCTGTCGGTCTAGGATACACAGCTACAGCATCAGGAACCATAAGACGGGATTTATACGACTTGTTCGAGCCGTGTTGGGTACAGGAAGCCGAATTTGGGATTATGGGTCCTTTCAAAAAAATATGTGGAGAGAGAGAGAGAGAGAGAGAGAGAGAGAGACAAAGAGAGAGAGAGGGAGAGAGAGAGAGAGAGACAGAGAGAGCGCCTTTTTGTGGGCTCATGTAAGAGCAATGAATATTAAATATTGAATCTGATACAGTCTGGGTGCGTCACTCTTGTGCAAATGGAAGAGAAGGAAGCTCTTGTCTAGTTTGGACAAGTTCTCCCTAGGACCATGCTTGTTGGACTTGACCCGGCACTAGTACAGGACTGCCTCTGCTATGGGAGACCTCAACTACACTGTCCCGCCTACATATCCGGCACCCTCAACACTCTGATCCCTAAACCTGATTTTGAACCCCACACTGGCACTACCGGGGTCCAGGCTGTGTCGGAGAGCCAAACAGGCTGTCCTGCGATGATGCACTGACAGGTATCGCACCGAGGGTGAAGGCCTGCCCGAATTAAGGTTCAGGGCATAAGATTTAGAGCTGAGGCTGTAAGGCGTAGGGGTTCAGGTTTCGGGTTGGGGGTTTAAGTAAGTTTAGGGGGGTTTGGGCTCAGGGTTTAAGAGGTTTAGGGTTGAATTCCTCGTAGGATTGAGGGCTAAGGCTCAGCGGTTTAGGAAGATCGCGACATGAAGCCGCAAAGCCTCGCAACTGTATATCAAGCATCGGGTTACCGACTCTACTTGGATCATCGGACTTAGTAAGTAGGGTTATAAGTACCCTTGTTGGGGTTATAAGTAAGTATAAGTATAGTTACCCTAATTATAACCCTAGTTACTAAGTCCCATGACCCTTTAAGTAGCCCTAGACCCTCGAGAAACCTTATAGATCCCTTTAAAGGAACCCTTATAGAACCCTTAGCTACTAAGTCCCATGAACCTTTAAGTAGATGCTAAGCATCAGACGAACGAGCGGGCATGTCAGCTTATAAGGCACACGGATAAAGCGTTTTCCTCGCGCTTCCTGCGAGCCCCAGACTCCACACGCGGGTTGTTCGGATTTTCTTCGTAAACCCTGCCTCCGAATCCCTCAAGCCTGAATGCAAGCCCAAAACCTAAATCCCACGCTCTAAACGACGTTTCATGGCCCCCTGGTTCATGCTCTAAACAGCAATCCGAAGTATTTCATTACGCAAACCACTTCGATTCACAGCTGGGCGACGAAAGTACAGTGGGGTCCGGTCAGGGCTTCTGGGGTTAAGGGTTTCTGGGGTGAAGCATTTGGAAGTAAACTTGACGTAAGACTTCAGAGTTTGGTGTCTAAGAGCTTGGAATTCCGGCTTCATAAGATGACGTCTTAAGGGCTTGAAGGTTCGGGCTTTGAGCTCCGAAGGGGTTAAAGCTGAAAAGGTTGAGGCTTGAAGGGTCTCGAGTTTACTGCTTTCGGTATTTTTCGAAGACCCCAATACTTACGCAACAGTCTGGGCTACGAGCACCCCGCCAGTACCCGCTAATAGAGCTCTATGGTCTCGTATGGTCTTGAGGAGTGGGTATTTCGGTGTCAGCGGTGCAGAGTAGGTGACGTCTCATGTAGGGCCTTTCAAAACTAGAATACGGCCTAGGAACCCAAAGGAATAGCATTGGTGGTTATTCCCCTGGGGCTCCAAACAGCCCAAAGTAGGTACACTTTATAGACTTTTGACCCCCAAATAGGTACTATTTGCATACTTGGAGGTACAACTGATAGACTTTAGACCCCAAAGTAAATGCTTTAATAGGGGTTCTGTATTAGTGGCCTAAATAATTACCAATGCTATTGTGTGGGTTCCTTATCATAACTACCAGTATAGTCTAAGGGCCCCAAACCCTGTTCGAATTATTATAGCCCCTACATTATAGCGTCCATAGGATTTCAGGTGTCCAGGAAGGATTGTAAGTTGTTGGAAACATCACTAGAATCCGAAAAGTTGCACACAGGCTGTCGTAGAAGGAAAACGAGTGCAGAGCGACCAAACCGATGATCACCTACTCACATGGGCTCTACAAGCTTTCTCTCCTTTGCCATCAAGATGCCGCACCCGTTGTCAACAGGCGCGCGCCTGGAGATCCGACATGCTGGCGGTCACTGCAACTCCTTCAGCATCTTTTCGAGGGTCTGTTTCAATGAACCCTGGCCTTCCAAGATTCGAGAGATTTTGCTCGCTTCTGCCTCGCTCAGTTTACGCCCTGCGGTAAACGTATGACTTGCGTATGGGTGGACGCCGGGATCGGGAAAAAAGCCCTTGCATCTGATAACCTCATCTTTCAATGCCACCATCTGTCTACGAAGCTCTTGCTGCTTCACGGCCACCTCGAGGAGGATGTCAGGTTCGGATTTGCGGAGCAGCTCCAAGTCCTCCTTGGCACCGTTCTTGGCCAAGGCACGAATGCATCTTTCGTATTGTGATTTCAAGCCGTGCTTTCGTGCTTGCAGGAGGCGCGCGCCGGTGGCCGGAAGACGAAGAAGATGCGCTTCGCAGGCTTGCTTAATGGTGCCAACCTGGTAGTAGTCACTGATTGCAAGAAGCGTATCAACATTCTCCTTTGTCACTGCACCGCTGCTCCATGCCGTCGGTGCCAGCAGGCCATAGAAGATCTGGAACTCCTCCTTGCTGGCCAAATCCACCTTGATGACGCTCTGCTGTGCCTCCTTCATGCCACTCTGAAGCATGCGGTTGAACACAGGCGAAGCCAAGCGCAGCAGAATGGAGTTGGCCGGCATGGAATCCTCTGAGGATTCGCCGAACTCAAGCCGTACATCGCTGACCTGATCCAAAGTTGCTGCTGTGGGCATCTCGCTGTTGTCGGCGGCCTGCGGTTCCATGTCCGCTGCTGGCCTTTTGGTTCCCCGCTCCATCATGGGCACTACGACCAAAGTCCTAACTAGTCATGTAGCTGCAACACACTAAGAAGAAAATTACACTGAGACTAACTACAATGCATATGTGTCCGGGGCTCATGGAAAATCACTTTCCGTTCTAGCGGCAATACCTGCGCCCAAACACCTTCGAGCTGAGAAGGTAAACTATGTATCGAGCTCTACATCTAAAACTGTGAGTTCAATGCCACACTGACTGCCAGACAGCTGTACATCGAAACGCTACAAGCAGTAATTCCTCCGAAGGTACCTTCCGTGAAACACACGTCTGCAACACTACAAGTACTGTAGCACTCGAGAGCCTGTCAATGTCTGATTCTTGGAGCTAAAGTCTGCATCGTGTCGCCAGTGTCTTCACGAACAACGTAGGCTTCCGGTACTGGTTTTGCAGGTCAAGCCGACGGCCAGCCTGTGTGTGTGAGAGATCATGAGCCTCTTCCCAACTGCCTTTATCATAAAGGCCGGAATAAGTCGAGGGGCCTTTACCACATAGGTACACGAGGGAATCCCAAGGAAAACTAGCATTAACTATTCGTAGCTCAAAAGACTATACGGTACCGTTATCATTATTGACTATTGCCCTGATTGTTGCCACTGTAATGCTGTCTGCATCATGTACGGGGATTGCACTTCTGAGCACCCTTCTTGCTTCTGCTTTTTCCGATACTCGCAATACTAGATGAGTACCTCTAGACTCGGAAGCCTCAAAAGGTGGGATGAAGGTAGGTAGGATTAAGGATCCCTTGTATAAGGACTCTTATTTCGGAATTACCCCACCTACCTTCATCCCACCTTTTGAGACCTCCTGATAGACTCTAGCTACTGCAGTGCCATGGGCTTCTTTCGTTTCGTGCCTCCCTGAAGCAGGTTCGCCCAGAGAGTCTGGGATCTGCTCGATAGGGCTTACTGCTCAGAGCCTCCATGAGCTCCGAGCAATGTTCCCACAGAAATGCTATGGAGATCCGGTTACCTCCGGTTTGTGTTTCGGTGCTTAAAGCTTACGGTAATGGGTTGAATAACGGACCTTTGAGGACGGGATGCTTGAGATTCTGGGGATGCGATGACCTAAGGCTTCGCAGCAGTGAATGGCAAAAGGGTTGGTGAAATTATCATACTAAGATCGTGCTGCTCAGCCACGAAGACCTACCAAGACTGGCAGCATCTGCAGTTGTTCCACTTTGCTAACTACTTTCTTGGTGGTTGCCAGCCAGATGTCGACCTCCGAGGCCGCATGTCATCATGTGATGCCTGAACCTATCAGGGGCTTAGGGGCTTTTAGGGTTTCGGGGGATCCAAACCCTGAACCATGCACCCCGTGTGTCTCGACATTCTGCCTTGTCATTGATTTGGGGCGCTACCTCTGCACCTGTCCTGTGAACTCAAATGTCTACCTTTCCGAATATGCGGGCCCATAGTGTCCTTAGCTAGATGTTCTGCTTTCGTATACCCTAACCTATTTGACTGAGGATCCCCACCCCGCCCCTCCCCCAAGCTCCAGAGGCTTCATCCGCAGGGTGAGGCTTCAAGCGGATGGTGAGAACAAAGATGGAATTCTCTGGTACCTGGGTGCATGAGTTGAGGGTTGAGGGCTACTTAGGCTTGTTTTGGTTTAGATTTTGTGCTTGTGGTTTAGGGTTTAGGCTGTGATGACTTTATGTAGTTTTCGGCGCTGACGGCTTGGGTGCTTTGTGAGGTCCAGCTTACAACAATTTCTGTAAGCTTTCTCTATCGGTCACTCCTAGGCTCGTCAGGTAGTCTTAAGGGCCTACCTGTGCAGGAATGCAGTGCTAGTAGGGTAGGGCTGAGGCCACTGTAGGTTGAAGGACTTATCGGGTTGACTTGAACAATGTCCCGAGGGTTTAGGGTAGTCGAATAGACAAGTCACCCCGTCCTTCGAAAACAACTCATCGTTTGGTCGATCTGTCAATTCACACAAACCTGAACCGGAACCGGTACAAGTATATGCACTCAGGCCTCCTAGTGCCTAAAACACATGCAACCTCCGAACAGAGGTATCCTACCTAAACCCTAAACCCTAAAGCCGAGTCCTGCTGCGATCCTCTAAGGGCCTGGGAATAGATGATATCGCTAAATCGGTACTAGGACCCCTAGGGTAAGGAGTAATTATGATAGAAAGCTGTGGCTGATTGTCCGGCCTCGTGTAATCGCCCCTCAATACCCTACTTGTATTGAGAGTGCGGCTGTATCGAAAAACGATTACTGCGAGGTGGTGTTATTCAGCATTGCGTTGCATACAGTTACAAGATCGCATTAATACGGAGGTTAACATGACGCGGCCATCTACCGTGCACCGGGTGTTCCCGGAACACACTCCGTTCAAGGACTCGAATAACATACAATTGAATTGGTACACCCTGTTGTGGTTCCTCCAGCAGCCCCTTCCCCCGCAAAAATCACATACAAAACAAATCATGTTTGCAAAGCAACCATTGTTTCCTAGTTACTGCTCAGCTTAGAAAGAGTCAGAGAAACAGCAAACAAAACAAAGCATGAGAATATACTGCCGCGGAACAAGGCAGTCCGCAAGGAACGCAGGAGCTTGGTGGTTTAGGTCTGGGGTGGAGAATCACAAGCCGGTGCCGGTTCTTGCCTACGTCCCTGAATGCCCTAGTCGCTTGACCCTATAAACCCCAGAAGAGCCCTAGACCCTGAAGCCCAACACCAGGCCCTAAGCCCCTAGAACCCCAAACCTTCAAGCTCGGACTCGAGTCCCTAAACCCTGAAGGTGCATGTACCCGTACATACAGCATGTAGTTTGGCCTTGAAGTACTTTTAGGAACGACTTTACGGCCAATGTATACAACATATTAAAGAGTACGTGGACCCTTCGGGGAAACAAGCTCCCCAAACCCTAAACGATACACTATGTAGTGTACTATAGTATACTGTAATGTACTGTATGAGTACATGGAAGCCTTAAAGGAACACTTAAAAGGAGCCCTTAAAGGGAGCCTTGGGGAAAGAAAACCCCTGGGAGGGCCTTTTGGTCGCAGTTCGCGGACAAGGTCCAGGTCTTCTCCTGCAGCTCAACAGCGCTTGGTACCCTTAAGGAGATCTATAGGGGCTTTATAAGGGTTCCAGCACTTAGGAGGATCGGGAGACTTAGTAAGTAGGTAGTAGATAGACTTGCAAATCCCTTCAAACGGACCCTAACTGCCCTAACTGGATCTATAGAGGGTTGATAAGGGTTCCTCTAAGGAGCTCTATAAGGGTTCTACAAGGGGTTTTCTCCTGCAGCCGCATGAGCCTCCACAGGTTTCAGGGTTTAGGGATTAGGGTTTAGGGAGTTTAGGGTTGAAGGATTAGGTATTAGGGTTTAGGGATTAAATCATGGTTCAGGGCTCAGAGTCAAGGGTTTAGGGCTTGGGGTTCGCACTTATTCTGAGATTGCTCTGAGGCCGAAGCACCTGCTGCTTGGGCACATGGACGCTTAAAGTCCTAGGTTTGGTTAAGGGCTCTGTAAGATTTTACAACGGGTTTAACGTATCCTATACATGCTCAGGTTCCCTGTATAATTGTCAATCCATTGCTGAATCGAACGCTTTGGGAGTCCCGGTAAGCCACTGAATCCTGGATGCAAGAACCTCAGCCCAGCTATCTGTCAGTAAGCCACGTAACTTCGTACAAGGGCTCGGATGCCATATATACAACGATTATGGAATGAATTAGTTGAAAACCATAATAATTAAGGATGGTCTTTCGGGGCCGAATTCCATAATGGTAGTATACTTGGACCCACTGGGTATGGTTCGAAGTCCCGAGAAGTTCATGCTCGGAACACCAACCAATTCGACGGAACTCTCCTGTGAAGGGTCCTAGGATGTAGAGATCCGAACTACATAGATGCTCAGGTTGAGAGACGACACATGCCACTCCACGGACATACGGCTGATAGACAAAACCTGCATGGTGCAGTAGAGCCGTTTGGAATTCATGATCGCTCTCACGACTAATGCAAGGGTTTCAGCATCGGCAGCATTGGGCTTAGGTTTCTGTGTTTAGGGTGCGCCATCTTCAGCTCTTGAAATTTTGATTCATGCCGCCAGCGAAATAGGTAAGTGCGTAATGCTTCACCATCATCATGCGAGCGTTTCCCGTGGCGGTCAATTCCTGGAAACTACTTCTCTTCTCCACTAATCAAGCCGCAATCGACGCTACACCTCCTTCATGTAGGTCAGGGAAACCCTTAGCCGCAGACCCAAACTACACCTATTTGCTACGCAAGCCTAAGGCTTGCTGCTACTTACTAGCAGTAGTATCAGCTAAAACGAAGAAGGAAGCAGAAATCGCGAAAGCTGCCATCTTGCACGAAACAAACTGTCGACCCCTAAGCTGGAAAGCTCGCCCAAAGGGTCCAAAGGACCCAACGATGAGGTACTCACATGTCGGATAGTAGTTATGTAGGTTAATATTTGGAAGAGTATATGATTATTCGGTACTTGGACCCTTAGATTCAGGTCGACTGCAGACAAGGATCCAGCAAACAAAGCCCCGTGAGGAAGCCGATGTCTTCGCCAAACCTCCGAAATGGTAGTTTCCGAAAATTAGGGGAACCTTATTCTGGGGTCCCTATAATAAGGATCCTACTATTTAGGGTACTGCATTCGGGTCGCCTATTTTCGGAAACTCCCAAATTTTCCGGGGTGTCATTGGTGTTCCAGCTCCAGGGCTGTACTAGAGGGGCCGAAAAAAATAGAATAGGGTTTGGGCGCCCAGGATACTATAATCATAATAAAGAACTCCCAAAATATTATAGGAAGTTATTAAGGCCCCTATGGGAGGGCTTTGTGATCTGGGGCCATCGATGGCTTCTGGGTTCGCAGCTTTGTTATGGGATGTTTGGGGCTCAGGCATGCAAGCTTGAGGACATGAAGATGTGATAGCCCCTCAAAGCTGGTTGGCTGACTTCGCAACAGCACATCTGC